AACCAGGAAGCCAGTCTACACGTTCCTACGTGGCTTAGACCAACTGTTGTGGATTTCATTGACTGGTGAGGCCAAGTTTTTGTTTGACCGCCGCTAACTTTTTTCCAGCCTGACCCTATATCCGCTAACATTGCTCGTCGAGGAAGGCGATGACCAGGCATACGTAACACATGTCCTAACCATCTCAGTCTTTGTAACTTCACGACTTCGTCGATTGATTTCCTCTGTTTACCTAGAACTCGACCGACGCCTGACCTCAATGTTGCTCACCTTATTATGCCACTTTACACGGGAAATAGAGCGGAGGCACCTATGATCAAAGACAGCTAGTCTTTTCATGTCTTCCACTCTCAGTGGCCAGGTCTCACAACCATAAAGGAGGACGGAGCGGACTGATGAGCAGTATGGTTTATTTTGTTGGCTTCTCATCACCTCACAGCCCAAAGACATTAATTAGTTTACATACAGCAACAATTTTAACATACTACGCATAGAGAGTTCATTTTAAAACAAAAACAGTATATGCATCTAATAATAATAATAATATTATCATTCTTAATAATAATAATCACTTTATCCCAAACAATATGAATCATACACAATAGAAATTTTGGCGTTACGTAACCATATGAGAGAGAGGATGGAAGCATCCAGCTAGCAGGCTGCAGGGCATGGAAAGACTGATAAGCACTTGTTTTTCATAGAATAAATTGCGTCTCAGATGTTTGACGGTGATTGCAGCAGCAATTTTAGAGATTATTGGGCTTTTATTGTCTACTGATAATTTCGGGGGATCTGGAGACGTCCACCTCATGACTTCAAATATGTCAAGCAGATGCCTGGCAATGGCACTGTTCACACAAAGCATTTACTCCCTTGAGATATAAACTTTTTGTGCATGTACAGAAAATCGGAGGTATCCCCTACATATTCGTGCACAAGCTTAATAACGTCTTTAGGCGATGCGCGGCGATCAGTGTCTGCAAGTATGGTATGTACTTTGCGCTGTCTAAATGCAAAATACTCTTATAAGATAGGCAGGAGCCTGTACCTGCACTCACTCTTGCGGGTGAACCGCTTGAAGTTGTTGATAAGTTTGTGTATCTGGGTAGTTGTGTGAGTGCTGGCGGAGATGACGAATGAGACTTCCAACCCTATAATGAAGGCTAGGGTGGCATACATCAACTTGAGCCACCTTTGGCGACGTCACGACGTTAGCCTAGCTGTCAAAGATCAGGTATACAATGCTTCGGTGAGGGCTGTCTTGCTCTACGCCTGTGAAACCTGGCCTCTCCGAGTAAGCTGAGAATGTACGGCGACTCTGCGTGTTCGATCATCGCTGTCTCCGCAGGATTGCTTGCGTTCGATGGATGGCATCATCTAGTGAGTAATTCTGAGATTCGGTGGCGTGTGTTTGAACACAGTGGGGATCACCACTCATTGAGTGTCGTCATCTGGAAACACCGGCTCCGGTGGCTTGGACATGTGCTGCGAATGTCATCCCAGAGGCTTCCCGTACAGGTCTCTGCTCGCTAGCCAGCTCTGGGACGGAATGGAAAAGGCGGAGAGGTGGTCAGTCGATGACGTGGCGTCGTGGGATGAAGGATATTTGTGCTAGATTAGCATCGGTTGGTGCGTCACGACTCTCTGGTTGGGGTCCGCGAGATAGCTCAAATCGATGGCTCGAAACCTTATCGGATGTGGCCAAGAATCGTAATCAATGGCGAACGAATTGCAATATCCGTCTTTCTTCCCTTCCTGATGATAGTTAACGAATACTGTTTGAACTTGTTAAGCATGACTGTTTTCCTTACAGATGAAGTTCTTTATCCGTTCTCAGCTTATATTTTTACTTTTAATCTATGTTGTTTTATTATTATTACTATTGTATGGCGCATCTTTCTTGGTGCTATATTGTACCAAGTTTTTTCTGCATTCAAATAAAATAATAATAAAATATGCCCGGCTGAGCTGATAAGAAGTCAACGAACGAAATAAACAATGACGGTACTCATCTTCTGATTCTGCACAAACCTTCACAGTTGTTCTAGCTTTATTCAAATTCAATAAACGGGAATAAATTTATGAAGCATTTAAAGTTATCTATCCTATTCTGACCAATGTCAAATTTGCCTTACAAGAGTTCGTCTGTTACACGACGACGCACAAATGTTGCTTTACACGCTTTTCCTACCCTGGTCTGGCTGTCCTTAACTTTGTTGCATAAATTCCCTTCTTAATTTTTATCTGATAATTGGTTTAGTATCTTTTTTTTTATAAATTACATTTTCTTATTCAAATTATAAACTGCGCATCTTTCTTCAACTGCTTTGTACATTTCCACTGATTTCAGCCGATCGATATTTCCTTGCTATGAAAACACCCATATTATTGTTAACGATTATTCTAGACTACTTTTTATGTAGATATATAAATGCATCCATAATGAGAATTGCAGAGTTCGATGATGAATGTAACGAGGAGAATATTATTTTTACACTCGGACTTTCTTTATGTTGTTAGGAGGAAGTCCCCTTGGGTTCCATGCTGGTAACTCACTTAAATATGCAAAAATAATCAACTTTATTATTAAGTTGGATAGACCAAGTATAGAATATTACGTTAGGTAAACACTTGTGGCTTTCTATGGCATGCAATTTACTAATGGTGTCAAATGTAAGATGATTCTAGAGGACCGAAATACTCTGACAGTTAGTTTGAACCAGCTAGCCAGCCAGTCACGTAGGGAGGTGTACACTACCGGTTTGCTTGGAGTCCTCAAAATTCTAATTAAAAAATGTCACCACTGGCACTTGATCCGACAGCCACCGCATGAATTCCAACATCTACCGATTCCCGAAATGTGTACCTCAACTGCCAAACAGCATCATTGGCGAGTAACAGTTCGCTTACCTGACTTGGTGAACCCTCCACCCTTGGTTACAACTTCTCAACAGAACTTCAGATAACTATATTCTGTAGAGAAGCAGTCGTTAGTGAGCATCAGATTGGTTTGCAACAGGGATTTGATTGGTGTTACAAGTTGGATCACAAGTTGACATCGGTTGGAGAACCACTGGGAAACCGGAGTTTTATGCAACTTAGGTCTGAGGCATTGAGAACTCAAATGGAACAAATGGAAGAGGGGAATGACATCACATACATCATCCTACTGAACCCATCACAATTTTTAGTAGTATATTGGTGTAGGGTCATCGATTTATGGAAGTAGCAACTAAACAGCATAAATTAGCTGAATAGGCACCAGGCGGTTCTTGAACACTGAAAATATATCTAAAGTTTTATCACTATTCAACTTGGTTGAGAGGTTAAGGTGCACAATAAAGTTTGCGAAAGATACCTAAAACTTTTTTTCTGTACACGATATTGACCGTTACAACTCAGTGTGAATTGTAGCTAAATTCATTTTCTTAAGAATTCTGTGCCAGTACATACATGCTGACGCCCTTATCCCAAAAGTTTTGGGAGGAAAGAAAGCTGCCTACTGACTAGATGAGAAGACTGACTACCTTGTCAAACTAACAAAGAAGGGCGACTTACGCCTCACTCCGCAAAAACTGGCATAGAATAATGCTCTTTTCCACGCAAAGTAAGTGACTAAGTCGCATCATCCTAAAGAGAATAAAATATACAGTGGATACACAACTCCATCAGTCCGGAACAAGCTAGATTCGGGAAAACCAAATCATGTGCTGATCGAATTGCGAATCTACGCATCGTTATCCAACAGAACAAAGCACGGAATGCCAGTCAAACCTCCCTCTACCTCAACAACTTCATCGACTTCGAAGAAGCCTTCGACAGACGGCGTTGACCGAGAAGTAATGTGAAAACTACTTCAACACTATGGAGTGCAGTGCCACAAGTCTTTATCAACCTCATTCAACAGCTATATGACAATGAGACGTGTCAGTTGGTTCACAACCGAAAACTAAAGCAAGGCGTTCGATGTGAACACGGGAGAAAAACAGGGCTGTCTATTGTCATTATTACTAATTATGATGAACTGAATTATGCGTCAGACTGTGCGCGGGAGCGAGGAGGTAGGAGTACGGTGGACAACCAATGAGAAGACTCTAGAATACATGGATTTCGCTCATGATCTATATCTAACATCACACAAACTCGAAGATCTACAGGCGAGAACGAATAAACTGGCTGAGGAACCAAAAAATACAGGACTCCGAGTAAACAAAGGGAAGGTGGAGACAGAGATGAACAATAACAACAATAACCAGTACCAATCACTATCAACGGGAGGAATTTGAAAGAGGTTACATCCTTCACGTATCTAGGAAGCCAGCATCGTTTTAACTACAAGAAGTTATAACGGATGAAGATGTCAAAACCAGTCAGAATCGGAAAGGAAAGATACACCTTCATCAACCTGAAACCAGTTAAGAAATCTTCTCCACTCCACCTTAGCATCAAGAACAAGATTCACATTTTCAACACAAATGTCAATGAAGTCAGTCACTTCTTCTATATGGGTCAGAAACTTGAGGTGTGCGTCGCGAAAAGGATTTCCAACAGCCAGCTATAGACTTTTATCAACATATGCCCCCTTTTCAGCTCCATACTGAAGATTAAACAGTCGAAAAGAATTCACAGTAAAAAAAAAACTCTGGCAATGAACGAACCACACAAGAGTCGATTGGTCAACAAATATGTAGGAGAAAGTGGAGATGGATTTATCGGGCATACATTGAGGAAGGAGGCCATCGAATGAATGAAACCGCGCTCAATGCAGGTCATCTCTGAAGTGGAACACCCAATATGAAGCAACGAGTGAGTATGGTTGGAGAGAGATTGACATGAAGGAGACGGCGTGAGTTGAGTCGTGTGGCCAACCAGTTGAATAGGACAGCAGAGAATAACACAAAGTGGAGATGTGTTGTTCAAGCCAGCCCAGCCCTATGCTCCACTTGGAACCCAAGAGAATATAATAAATGATAAAAATATTAAAATTAAATTCTTACTGATATTAAAACCACTCGAAGAACTATTTGAATTTTCTGTTTGCGTTTGATCAATTCCCAGCGGTGAGTTGTTCTCAAGTGGGATGGTGCATTCATCCAAGCTGAAGTCAAAACCACCCTCTTGATCTTTTTCCCACGGAAGGCTGTCAATATCTTGTAGATTAGCAGATACAAAACTAGAATCACTGTCGGCAAATGCAGAAATACAATCTGGAGTGCCTGCTACAACCTTAGACCGATTCCGTTGTGTTTTTTTCCTAAAGATAACCAAATCAACACACAGAAAGAAACCTCATACATATGAAGTTAGTTGGATATTTACTTTTATTAGAACACAAAGCGCAAATTAAGCAAATTTATGGTTATGCCACAGTGAGGCTATGACATATTATATATATATATATATATATATATATATATATATATATATATATATATATATATATATATATATATATATATATATATATATATATATATATATAGAAAGAGAGAGAGAGAATAGACTTACTTATTTCCTAAATTATCAGAATTCAGATCGAACTTTGAATACTTCAAAGGAGATGACTCTGTGAAAGACTGTTGTCTACCAGGCATTACTTCTGCGTCGGTTTGTGAATCACAATTTAAAAATAAATCACAAATACTATCGTCTGTTTCAGCATTCAACTTTGCGGATAGTACATCGCTCAGAGTGTTGGGATCGGCTTGAGAACATGGCGTTGCAGATCTGTTACACGGCCAATTCAATTCTAAAATAGATGTGTCAACATTTTCACCAACATTATTAACATTGTCCGCGGGAAGACTAGCAGGAACCTCTTCTCCACCGGCCTGGCATACTACTCCATTGTTATCCAGCTTTGAATTCAAAATATAATTTTAAAAAAATAAAAGAAGCAAGTAATAGCTAGAAGTATATATATATATGAGTAAAGTTTAGAAGCAGCAGTAGAGTGAGTAGTGTCAACTCTAGCGGTGAAGAAAGTTAGGTGATAAAAACGAGTAGACGAGAAAGTACACAAAAATAGCCGATGCAGAACAATTCATAGGTTTCAAATATAATAACTGCTCTCTCTCTCTCTCTCTCTCCTTACACTGGGAAGCAGTGGTATTTACTCTTAATGCTTGCTATTCACGTAATCAAAGTAGTAAAAGTCCGACATAATAATACAATACACTGACAGGCTACACAAAACCAGTAAACAAGAAGTAAAGAAGAGTATTCCATGAGCTACTTTTGATTGGACACTACTAGTTGGTGGTAACTAGTGTCTGTCTGTCTGGATTCAACATAGAACTTCGCACCAAAGTGCACCAGTTCGAGTTGCCACGTTCCAAATAGCACACAGAGGTAGGCAAGAAGACGAGTGAAGAGAATCAATACAGTCTGACAAGTATAAGAGCGAAACAGAATGGGTAATGGTAAAAAGGAATATGAAAGATTACAGAGACTGAATACATCTGCGCTGGCCATTGACATAGATTTTGAGCCATGTCATCGATTGTCTCCAGCCATTGATTCCTAGAGTCAGTCTCGAGGGTCCCAACCCGGAAGTCTGCATCTCCCTAACTGACCAACTCAGTTTAACTGTCAAGGATTTCATGGATTGATGAGGCCATGTTTTTGTTTGGCCACCACTTACTCTTTTCCAACCTGCACCTATAGCAGCTAGTAATGCCCGTCGGGGGAGGCGGTGGTTAGGCATGCGCACCACATCACCTAGCCATCTCAGTCTATGTAACTTTATAGCCTCGTCGATTGATTTTCCCTCTTTGCCCAACACTCTACGCCTAACGTCAACATTACTTACCTTATTAAACCACCTAACGTGAGACAGAGATCGCAGATATCTATGATCGAAAGCAGTCAACCTTTTCATGTTTTCAACTCGTATTGGCCATGTTTCAGAGCCATAGAGAAGGACGGAGTGAACTGATGAGCAGTACACACGTCCCTTGGTTGATAGCCAGCCGGATGTCAGGCCTACGCCAGAGATGGTGTAAGTCAGCGAAAGCAGCTCGAGCTTTTCGGATCCGTGCTGAGATTTCGTCGCCAATCAGTCCGTTGGTGCTAATACAACTTCCCAAATAGGTGAAGTGGTCAACATGTTCTATCACTTCACTCCCTATCACTAAGCTAGGAGTTGACGTAGTCCAGTCCTGTAGCAGCATCATCTTACATTTTGTAGGGGGCGAATCGCATGCCAAACATACGAAGATTGCTGCTCAAGGTGTTCAGAAGACTTTGCATTTTGCCAGCATCCTCCCCTAACAGGACTATGTCATCTCCATATTCTAAGTCCATAAGACTATTCCCTGGTAACAAGTCGATTCCTAAGTCATTACGTTCAGTTAAGGATACTTCCATCAGCATATCTATGATGAAGTTAAACAGAAGTGGGGAAAGTGGGCATCCCTGTCGGACACCACTGGTTGTTACCAATTCAGATGACAATTCCCTAATAACTAGTGTAATGGTGTCTAGTCTTTTGTGTGCTGCAGACTACATTATATCAGTCACTCAATTTTTGCAATGTGGCCACACCATACATGCCACTACTAGGTGGCTGGTCATCACGGTGTGGTATGATGTTAGGTGGTTGGAGACAATCGGGTACACAAGAAGCCTTGTCTAGAACTAGTTGGCACTCACTAGTCAGTCAGCAAGGCAGCAGACATGACAATGGAGACCAAGCGTTTCGATACAAAAATTTAGAAAAAAAAACACGAAAGAAATGGGAAGCCCTAATTAACTTACACAGTGGGATGCACAACGTTGATAGCTTGATGTAGGGATATTTCTTAACTCTCTCTTTATACTTATTATATTATTATTATTCCCTTGGGTTTCGAGTGGAACATAGGGTTGGCTTCAACAACACATCTATACCTCCTTCTATTTTCTGCCATCCTCTTCAGATAGCTCCACTATTGCCTATAATCTCTCATCTCCTCCTCCAATTCACAGGATCTCCTTCATGTCAACCTAGCAGGGACGACCCACTCGTCGCCTTCCTTTTCGATTCCACACGAACACTAGCCTCGCACACGACGTCATTCGACAGTCTCCTCAATGTATGCCCCCCAATCAATCCATCTCCATTTTCGCCTACATATTTGTTGAGCGATCAGCTCTTGGTTAGTTTGTTCCCACAGTTTCCTGTTACTTATTCTTTCTGGCCATTTGATGTTCAGTATGGAGCCAGCGAAGGAGATACCTGTTGATAAAAGTTTGAAGTAGCGCCTGTTGGAAATCTGCTTCGTGACACACCGGCGAAGTTTCTGACCCGACTGGATATTGGTGTTGAAAATGTGAATCTTGTTCTTGATGCTAAGGTGGGCTGGAGAAGATTTCTTAACTGGTTTCAGGTTGATGAAGGTGTATCTTTCCTTTCCGATTCTGACTGGTTTTGACATCTTCATCCGTTATAACTTCTTGTAGTTAAAACGATGCTGGCTTCCTAGATACGTGAAGGAGGTAATCTCTGTTAAATCTCTCCCATTGACAGTCATTGCTGCTGCCTGTTGTTGTCACTATTGGTTGCTTATTTTCGGTACCTCAATCTTCTCTATGTTCACCTGGAGTCCTGTCTTCGCTGCCAGCTTCTTCAGCTAGTTTGTTGGTTTTCGCCTGTAGGTCTTTGAGTTTGCATAACATTAGACATATACCATTTGCGAAATCCAAACCTTCTAGAGTCTTCTTGTCGGCAGTCTAGTGTACTTCTATCTCTTCGCTTCCAGGCACGATCTGACGCATAATCCAGTCCACCACAATTAAGAATATAGTCGCTGGTAATAGTAGGCAGGCTTGTCTTACTCCTGTACGCACTTCGAACGCCTCGCTGAGTTTCCCGTAGTGGCATTGCCATATAACTGTTGAATGATGTTGATAAAGCGTTGAAGTAGTCTCCAAATTACTTCTCAGTCAACGCTGTCAAAGGCCTTTCGGAAATGGACGAAATTGAGCTAGAGAGAAGTTTGACTGGCATTCCATGCTTTGTTCTGTTGGATGATGATGCGTAGAGTCGCGATTTGATCAGCACAATACTTTCTTTTCCTAAATCCAGGTTGTTTAGACGATCTGGAGGAGTTGTGCATCCAGTGCATATTTTATTCTCTCTAGGATGATGCGACTTAGTAACTTACTTTAGAATTAATCCAACCGTATTCATCATTATCTATAATGCTAATTTAACTTGAACTCCAACAATACTAGCGGTGACATGATTTTGCTGCACAGTAATTGTAGTGAATACTTATCGCGAAACTTTTTGCTTAAGAGACAATCCTTATCATAAAATAAGAGGGGTTTAATTACATGCAGATAAATTATTAACCAAATTTTACTGAAATAACGTCCTTGTTACAAGCTATACAAAAGGTTAATTGCTTAATTTCTGTCACTCTCAACACACTTTTTAATGAAATGTTTTCAAACTTCAATGTGGAGTCAGTCATCTCTGCCAGGACAACTTCATTGAGTCAGAAACAAACAACCGTTTTAAGCTGATTATAGAATACACAAACAATAATGTAATCAGTTTCCATTACCTTTGTGACATAGTATATAGGCACTTCTTGAACTTTTCCAGGAACAGTGTTAACCAGACTTTGTGTATTTCCACCATATTCAGGCGCTGATCCAGTTAAAGAGTATACATACCTTCCATCACTGCGTAGACTTACTGGAGTCAGTTGAAGATTTGTAGGCAAAATCTGGACAACTGAACCAATGTCAGAAATTTGACCGTTCATATTTGTATTCGTATTCCCATTGCCTATTGTTGCAGACAGAGTTCGTACATCAAATTTTGGACGTTTATGCGCAGGTCCAATTAAATCAGCAGTTTGAACAAATTGAAAAGGTTGAACTGAACTCCTGTCAAGTTGGAAACCTAAAGTATGTAGCAAAGTTATCAACTAGTGAATCCTATTTCTGATTTTTAATTCAGAATTATAGAATAAAACTCTGTTGTAGAAATTAATGAAACATCTAACACGACAGGAAGTATATTCGAAGACACAATTTACTGACGATGAAACGGAGAAAAGCCTTCAATATGTCACCGTAACATAGTCTACTCAAGTATAGAAAGGATGAAGTTAACACAAGAGGAAATTAGTACTACCTATTATAACATTTTCAAAGATACAATACACCTATTACACATTTTTACCAGTTGAACACTAATAACTTGTTAAACAGTTTGCTAAAATACAGGTGGGAAATTGAACTAATTCAACTGAATCGTAAGAATGGTTTCGAAGCAAATGTATCAAACATTAATTCAGAATACCATCTTATTCTTTCAGCTGTTTTCTTGATTAATTCTAATGACATTAGATAGGTTACATATTATAACCTCAATATTTTGTGTATCCAAATTCCCAGTAACCTCTATTGCAAGTGTCCTACATGTCTAGAAAGCCATAACAACGTTAACACCACATGCCTACCATTTTCGTAAAAGCCTACCTACCAATGAACGACTAAGTCTATGTGTGACAATACAGCAATTTTAGGCGACAAGTCTGCTAAACAAACGTGTGTGTGTGTGTGTGGGAAACAGACCCAAATACTAGGTAAAAGTGTCAACCACATATTTGCGCAGTACATATACTGAATTATCTAACAATGGCAAACGGAATATTTTTATCTGCCGAAAAATGCAGACACCAAAAAGCAGACAAAATAATATAATTACTGTTTAGGACAAATTGAACACTACTGCACATCTGTTTCATGTAACAATCTACATCATGCAGCAATAAACAATGAGCCCGAAAAGTGTATCAGTGACTTTTGCTAAATGAACCAGTTATCGAATACCTGATCGCTTGATTTAAAAAAGACTGAACGCAAGAAAAAATATTCGCTTTAGTGACGACACCACTGGTATACTGTCTACCCTAACACAACGTAAGCTTTAAAGAATGCGTAACAAACATTACTCCAATTTTTTTACAACGAACGATGAGCAGAATACACAAAATCACGCCCATACATAAATATTAGGATTAACATTAAGCCATTTGATTAAAAGGGGTATACCAATGAGTCATTTACAATACGCTCATTTCTTCTGCGCTAGTAAGCCTAGTATTTTTAATGGGATTAAAAATGTCAGGAGACTGTTTGACAATATCGAAGGCAGAATAAGCCACCTCCCTACAGACTTGTTAAGTACCCTGACTAACCCAACTACTTGTAACGAAGCTCGTTTAACACTTAGTTTAAGAGAACCCTCATGTTTGTACATTGAATCAAGTAAGACTGGAAGTCAGATATTCCAATTTGAGGACATAAGACTAGTCACGAGTGTCACTGTGTGTCTGGAAAGACGCTACAGTAACCCCCATCCACGAAGGAGAGACAAGACAAAACCCTTCAAATTACAGGCCTTTTAGTCTCACCAGCACCTTAATCGAGACACTGGAAAGGATTATCAAGAAAGCTATCATGGCATATCTGGAAAACAATAACTTGTTATCCAGAGCACAGCATGGCTTTCGAGGAAACCTCCCATGCCTGACCAATCTTACTGCAAGAGAAAGCTGAGTCAAATCGAGGGACAACAGAAGACCCGTTGGCGTCGACTTAATAGACTTCAGCAAAGCCTTCGATGAAGCTCCTCACAAAAGACTTCATGAATTTCATCATGAGCTGACGTTAGTTAGAGAACCATTGGAAAACCTGGGAGTACTGGACAGCTGTTTCGTCCTAGTTTCGGACGTTCCTTCTAGTCCCAAACTAGGACGAAACATCTGTCCAGTACTCCCAGGTTTTCCAATGGTTCTCTAACTAACGTCAGCTGATGATGAAATCCTGAAACCAACCAAATCCCTACAAACCAACACTTAAATACTATTCATGAAGTTGGAAAGTCTTGGAATCAAGGGGAGCCTACTAAACTGGATTAGGGAATTCCTCATGGATAGGAGACAGAAGGTCAGAATCAACTTGAAACTCTCCTCCTGGATAGCAGTGCGTGGTGAAGTCCCACAAGGCATAATACTTGGGCCTCTCGTATTTATTTTGTACATCTATGAGTTATCTCTGCTCACTGATTCCCCTATGGTCCTATACGCAGATGACTGGAAAGAGAAGGGCGACAGTGATACGCTCAGGTTGCAAGGAGATATCAGTGAATTGTCAGAACAGTCGAGAGAATGGATGCTCCCGATTAACGCGCATTGGACACGCAAGCATCAGCTCCTACGAACTAGAGGGAATAACACTTCCATCAGTTCACACTCATTTGGATTTAAGTGATATAGGTCACGACTTGAAAACTACAGCACACCATCTTGTGGTGGCTGCACGTAGTTTCAGACCCTTATGGGCAATTCGCAGAGCTTTTACTAAAATCACCAGAGATATCCTCACCCCCTTATATACTTCCCTGGTGGGGTCAATACTGGGAAACTGTATGCAGGCGGCCAGTCAGTCCTTGTCTTAAAGGGGACTCACACATCCTAGGAAGGGTTCAAAGGAAGGCAACACGTATGCTTCTCGACATGACTAATTTATCATACGAGGAAAGACTAGACAGTTTAAATCCCTTCTCCTTATCATACCGTAGGCAGAGGGGAGATTTAATCACAATGTTTAAAATCTTAAATAATGTCTACAGACCTGACTTATTCTCTCTTTTCCTTCCCACCAGGTGGGAACACTTTAGAAGACATAGCATTAGAGTTAAAAGCCAGGGAAAGCTATATTGCTGTTGAGTACTGGTTCTCACATCGAGTCATAAACTCCTGCAACCGACTCCCAGAAGAAGTGGTTTCTGCAACCGCAACTGACTCATTCAAGAGTGGTTTGGACTAGCACAGAAATTTACTAGAGTAGGAATAACATAGGCTTCAAACCTTCTATCCTTAATCAACAACTTTGAAATCTGATCTGAAATATGAATTTCTAAAAGTTAACGTAGGCTAGGTTAATGCACACTCTACAAATTTTGGCTATCATACCTTTTACGGAAAGACAGTGAAAACCAACTTAAATTATAAGACTTAGACGACAACTGGAACTCACCCTGTGGAAGATTCAGCTTCAAGCCTTTATTTTGAAATTTCGAACTTGATGAAGCAATCGAAGGAAGAGCTTTCCGCTTGGATTGCCCAATACATACGCTTGCTGATCTTCCTTCTTTTGCAAAAGCTGACAGGAATGTGAAAAGCTAAGCAATTATAACTGGAAACCGTAAGACTTACCGTTTGAATAAGTTGTGACTGCTTATCATGATGTTCTCGTAAGTCTGAAAGTTCACGATACAACAGCTGGTTTTCTGATTTTAAGACACTAATTTGTTGGGTTAAACTCTCTTGATTACAGTGTAAGTGTCGAACTGTTTCAGCTAATCGCATAAAATCTGCTGCAGTAATTGGCCTTTGTGGAGATGAGAGATTTATTGTGCCATTAACACCTGGATTGGTTTGGGTATAGGGTATTCTTACACCCCAATTCTGATTTCTTGAACTTAACACTGGAGAGCCCATATTTGAAGCTCTCCTATGAATTTGAGGCAATAAGCTTTCTTTATTACGAATAAAGTAAGGATGGCTAAATTCCATATCTTCAGTGTCAGCTTTCATGGGTAAAGTTGGGTCTACGCGATTGATCTTACGAAAGCCATCTAAAACACGAATATGAATAGAATATTACATACACATATTCAACTGTCTTATAAAGCTTGACAAATTGTTGTGTTTAAAGTACAGAGGTAATAATTCTTTAGCTAGCCGATTCCCGTCACGTATATGAAAGCTTGCACCAAGCTAAATAGTCATTAAAAATCTAAAGATATGCTTACCGGATCCCAGTATATAAGGTCATTTGTTTCTTCATTGTCTACTAGCAGCTTTAACTTAGTTAAGAAGGCAGGTATAGATTGTAAAGATGGTGCAGTGGGTAGAGTATACATGGTTTGATTAATAACATGGAGAGGTTTAACGTTCCCACAATACAGGACAGCCAATCACAAGGCTATCCCGTGATCAGAGAATCAATAGAAGATAATTGGATTTATTTCAGATATCAGATTCACTGGCTTGTAGCAGAAGTCTCGAAGCCTGTACTGATCCTTTTTTAGTAAGTACCAATGCATAAATGACTCCCTCTTGAAATAGTCAGTTGAGGTTACTGATACAACTTCTAGGAGTTAAAGATACGATGGCAAAAGCAACACTGCAAATAGCTCTCCCTTGGCTTTTGGACTCCGTTTCCATATCCCCTGAGATTGCCCAAACTCATAAAATAGAGGACAGTGAACCGATCAGAGGCTGAAATTATCCGTAACTTATCAAGGTCATTGGTTGAGTGAGACGCTCGAAGGTCATTTTCGTCCATATCAGTCGGCCATGTTGGATTGCAGTTCCGTAGCTGTTCGTGTACGCGTTTGTTGTTCCGTTTATCCTGCCGTTATACACGACTTATCTTGTTTCGTATTGTTCACAAATGTTGCGTTTCACCTCATTTTTTGTTTCCGTTGCTGTTAAAATGAATTATTTCTTTGGTTTTGAAACTTTTCACTACCAGGTCAGTGCATTCATTTCGGTGTAATTGTTTCACACCTTGTATTTATGCGGCTTTCAGTGTTTTAGTTGGTTTTCAGCTGTTAATGAATCGGCAATGTGTAGAACTTTTGGAAATCATGCACATGAAGGTGTTTGGCTGGCAGAAGCAGTTGTTTTCAGTTCATTTATTGGTTGCCGTTATTCTTGTTGGGTCATTTAATTACCTAAGATGTAGAAATCGTGAAAAAAAGTGTCTTTCTCGCTCATGTTTACAGCATGCAACAATCTGCGAGTGAATCTGTTAAAGGGAACACCTTCAGAGTTGGTGTTAGCAAAGTTTTCGAAGAGCAAATTAAACCTGGAAAGTTTAGAACCTGGGTTCCCAGTCGGTTAATTCACATGGGCAAACGTGGGATAAAAGGGTAATTTTGATCGGCAAAGACGTGGGCAAAAGATGGTGTAAATGCAACCGATTTTACTCACTTTGGCCACATTTCCCACTTTTTCCCCGTTTTCCCATGTCCGGATAAAATTTGTTTGTCCCACCTTTTCCCAGTTTTCCCACGTAACCCACGTTTTCACCCATTTATCCCATGTGCAGGAATTCAAAATATACCTACTTTTTCCCCGTTTGCCCATGTCATTTTAGAAAACAGCCCACTTATTCCCACTTTGCCCATGTTACAAACGAAAACAGCCCACTTTGCCCACATTTAAACGGAAAACTACCCACGTTTTGACCCACATATCCCAGGTCCAAAAAAAAAGTAACCGACTGGGTTGAAGATGAAAAAGCTTTGAAGCTTTTTGACAATGTGAATATACCATCCGTGTGTCTGCTATCATTCAAAAAAAATATTGTGATAGAATCTAAGTCAAATAAGGTTGAGCCGCATGAAAAGTATGAATCTGTTGTGCTTGTGTGTATTTTGGGAGAACTAAAAGAACCTGGAATCCTGAAGGGTAAGTGTTACTTATGCTTATTATTGCTTGGTGTACTATATCCAAATACATGAACTAGGACTACCCGTAATAGAGCCAGTGTTAACATCCATTCGATGGGTTGCAAAACGGTTTTTAAAGCGGATAAAATACGATGATCTGGTGAGTGTACGAACAATCCCAGTTAAAGGTAAGACATTAATTAGGAAAAATAACGTTTCGGGTTGTAGTCTAAGATCGGTGGTTTCCTCGAAGTTGTGATTTTTCCGTGATTATAAACACATGTTCACGATCTTTAAAAAAAATAAATAAATTTTCCTTGAACCAGTAGTCTTCTTTTCTTTGGCGAAACATCCGTTGATACGACTATACGATTAGGTAGCGAAGTAAGATGTTATGTGACTGAGAATCGTGGTTGTTGTGTTTCTGACTAATTTCGTGCATCTGACTGTTATAACCGCATGGATATGGCGTTTTCCTCATGGTACATTATGATATCTAGAAATCATAAGCACGCTGCCATCGGTAAATTTATTTTTACTTTTTAAATGACTGCAAATAGTGAGTCGTTTGAGGTGATAGGATAAATACCTCTGAACGTTTTTGGGGAGACTAGGGTATATTTAATTTTTTCGAGTGAGGAACGGTCTTTTTACCAAGAAAGTTCTCAGAATTTTCGTCATTCAAAGATAACGCTAAGTTGCCCACTAAGGTGGTAGCTATAGGAGATTACCTTCAGCGGAAACTATATTAATGTAGTTTTAGGTAACGCATCATAGAAGTAAGCATCGTAGGTTAACTGTGTCTAAGTGTATTAAACGTTGTATAACCGATCAAACCATAGTTCTTACGTACGAGTTAGTTTTATAAATAGTGAATGTACCCTACATAACCATAACATAACCAACCAAAAAATCGGAATTTCCATCAACCTCGATAACATATAACACAATTTTATTAAAAATTATTGTCAAAACAATTTCCAAGTGGAACTTCAGCAGTACGTGATAAATAAGTCCAGCCCAGTCAACTTCAAGATGACTCCAAGGCACTTACTGAGTTTTTAGATAATCTTATGACTTATAAGAATACCTCGATTTCGACGAATTGCATGAATGACCTCAACTCGAGTTTTATCCTAGAAGTAATAGCAAGACGCCTACCTACTCGACTGCAAAGGAAGTGGGTGAAGATAAGCTCCCGTATGGAGGATGAGGGTATCGAGCCAAAATTAGATGATATCCTGAAACTGGTAAAAGATAGCGTCAATCAATCGATGAGCAAGTTTGCCAGTATATTGCATCTCACCCCTAGAATAGAGCAGTCTGAGGGTAAAACGCAATCATTGATGACGAAAGGGCCTCAGAGAGGTGGATATCGAGAAGGCTCCATGATATCTAGTAATGCATATAGACCTAGTGAGTATAACAGGATACGTAGTACATCGTCAACAGATAAGTTACATGATGCAACACAAGCACAGTTGTGTTTTACACGTTTGCAAGAGGTGCATACAAAGGTGAGCTGTGAACCAGTGAGCAAGTTCAGTGATAAGCTCAATGTAAACTCCAGGTCTGACTCCGAATCGTGTGACGAAAACGGTGTTGTGAAGAAGTCTGTAGTTGCAACTGGTAAGCCGTTGCTGAATAGAGTGTCACAGAATAGAGTTACTGCTTCAGAGTGGAGTTTTGACTCCACAAGTTTACAAAGTATAACTAGTCAGAGTGAAGGTATGAAACCTTTTATGATTTGTGAGGAGGAACCAAAATTGTCTACTTCTGTTATTAAAGAGTTTGAAAATTATGAAGTTGACGGCGAAGTGAATATTCGTGATAATGATCATGATACTTCACATTTGTCTTTGGTTGATCATGATGAGATGCGGGATATGCCTACTACTGCTAAGTTAAATAAAGGTTCTGTACAACTACAACGTGAAGTAGAATTGAACGCAGATGCAGTTCCAGAAGGTGTGCATACTTGTGAGACCGTCAGTGTAATTGATCAGCATGTAGCCCACCTATCATCAGATGCTAGTGCTAAACCAGAGCTGATAGTAAAAGACAACAGTGGTAATCTTGCAGTTAGACAACTATCTGAAAGCCGAAAAAAACAGCTTCTGATCCACCGCTAAGTTCATCACCTTGTGTCACTCAGTCGTCGTTGGTGTTTTCATCCACAATGAAATGGACGTCCATGAACTCACGTGCCTTATGCAATGACTATGATAGTATTGGTGCGTTTGAAAAGACGAAAGATATTGCTCAGTTTAGTGAGAATAAGCTAAGTGTAAAGGAGAGAGTAATTGTTAAATTGACTTGCATGAATAAAGGCATTTCCAGTTTCAAGTTACTATTTGAATGTTATTATCTTTGGTGTAAATTACTCTGTTTTTACACTTGGTTGATGAGATATGTCGTGTGTTTGTTCGTCATCAATATTCTACGATACAATGACATGAGCGAGTTGCCGTTCAAATTTGAAGATATAGCTCATAGAAGGAAGTCAGCAAATGAATTCTGCGACGATTTTCCAACCTAGGGCGTCAACCTGAGAAGGGTTGTAGGCGTACTGCTGTAAGTCCTACAATTCTTCAAAGGGTAGCGCATCAATGATCAGTCCAGTGTGCTTGGTGTGTGATTTTGTACATATGTTCATATTGTATATACTGAATTGATATCATCTGTCATCTAGCTGTTGGTAATTCTGTTTGTGTCCGGACGACTTCCACTCGTATCATCAACCTGAGAAGGAATGTAGGCGTACTGCTGTAAGTCCTACAGTTCTTCAAGGGTAGTTTGTCAAGCCAGAATCCACCGCATTTGATGTACTGATTGCACATATATTTGTGTAAAGTAATTGAGTGGGTTCAAATTATTGTAATTGCTGGTTAATCTTCTTTGCGTCCGTACATTCCACAACTTACAATCGTCCACGTGAGAAGGGTTGTAGGCGTACTGGTGTAAGTCCTGCAATTCTTCAAAGGAATTCCACCAAGACATGATCGGCGAGGTTGTTTGTACTATTTGTATATACGTGTGGTGTGTCATATCAATTGGTGTATTTTGGATTCATTGTGTTTACTCGTTGTTTTCGTACCTTGTTGTTATTGCGTAATTTTGTTAAAATTGTCGTCGTGATTACTTCTGAAGTTGTTTCGAGTCTTCTACATCCATGAATGAATTGATTGATGTTAGAGACAGCAGATGGGTCGTATACGCCGGGGAGGCTAGGCTATTGCTGAGAATGAAACGCACACGGAGATAATTGTTAGGTGCGGTCCGACACGCCGGGGAGAAAGAGTGTAAACGACTGAGGCTCGCATGCGTCACCGCTACTAGAACTGAGGCAGAATGAGTGACAAGCGATTTCAATGGTAATTGGTAGTGAGTAATTAAGAGGATGTGCGTAGAGTATCGTGAGGTGGTGCTATGGTCACGTTGCATTCTGCAAGAGTCATTCTAGC